CCTTGGGTACAGAATTTTAAAATTTAAGTAAACCTTAGGTTTTATTTTTCTTAATTTTTAAAGAAAAATGAACAAATCTTAATCATACTTGTAAGTTTTAGTATCTCTCTCTCTAAGGAACTGGTAGAACAGTTATGTTCTACCAAACATTAATTGGTAGAAAAACTAAATGACTAGTCAGTAAGGATATTGAAGAAAATTGGAACACTGTTGCCACTTCATTTGGGGACAAGTGCATGGAGTACTGTTTACATGGCATAGGTTAAGGGCATCTGAGTAGCAAACCACTCCCTCATGCTAGGCATGTGAGAGGCAAACCGCTTACCTTGTAGGCACAGGCGTGGGCATGAGATTGCATGTTGCAAGTTCCTGCCCTTGCTCCATGGTCCATTCCAAGATTGGTCGCTGCAGGGAAAGTTGGCCAGAAACTGCATTGGTGACTGCCTGTAATCTGCTTAGCTACTGCCTGAGTATATATACATGGTAAGGGTGCAATAAAATCTGACCTGCTTCCCGCTTAGTCTCAGGAGGCCTTGATTAGCAACTCCACAGCCACACTCTCCTTTATCCTGTTCTGTGGACCTCCTCGCTGAACAAGAGAGAGCTCATGCAACTTCAACCTAATCAATATGCATAAAAACATGTAAAAATATATAAAGCAATTCTTTTAAAATTCATAAAGATAATGATATGCCTCATAAAGTCTTAATAAATCTTGACAATGAAAATTGGAAAAAAAAGATAATGTGATATACTACCTAACATGTTAATTTATAAATTTATTTTATCTTTGGATAAGTTTTGGTATATCCATGTTAATTAATTTAGTGTTCATTATTCTGATTCTTGTGAATATTTGAGGTCATCTGTAACTTACATATTAAGTTCAAAATCTCCACTACCCTTCCACTAGAGAAATGGAAATAGTTCAAATACTTCATCTTCTCACCATTACTTTAAAATCAGCAACTTTTAATTTTGTGTCAATTTTATGGGAAAGAGTGTTTCAAATGATTTTACATTTGTAATTTCTAGAAAAATGTAAATTGAATTAAATACACAAAATAAATGTAAGTACATACTTTTTGCGTGAAAAATTTTTTTCTTTGAAAATTTTTGTATGTATACTTTGTCCAGAAAACTTGTCATCTGTAATAGCCTTACAGAGTAGTAGGGTCATAAGAAAACAACAAAAGCTGAATATGGACCAAGTTTAGAGAGAATTCCATAATGATGGATGGAGATTCAGCCTGTTATTTATTCTATGAGTTGCGAATTTTATTTATTTTTTAAATATAAATATTTTTTGAAAATCTTAACTTTTTAAAATTTTAGTATAATGTTGAAAAATATTAATGTCTAGTCTTTGTATTCTGTGAGGAATTAAAAATGGGTTTTATACCTGTGCTATGAATTATATGATAAAATAGGGAGAAATTCACTCTCACGAATCTGCCCAAGGATGACTCCCATAATTTGAGCCTGTTCCCTGTCTGTCTGAGCCTCAGGCTGTATAAGTAGATTCCTGTGTAGACCGAAGAATGGAGCAGATTACTTCAAACCCGCAACTCTATAGTAACAACTCCATGGAAAATAATGTGAGCTTATTAGAAAAGTTGTTACTCTTTCTACTAGGTCAGGTTTGATTAAACTAGTTAGAAATAAATAAAACATTTTTTGGGGGGGGTACTAGGGATTGAACTCAGGGTTACTTAACCACTTAGCCACATCCCTAATCCTTTTTTGTATTTTATTTAGAGACAGGGTCTCACTGGGTTGCTAAGTGCCTCACTAAATTGCTGAGATTGACTTTGCACTCTTAATCCTCCTGCCTTATCCTCCTAAACGGCTGAGATTACAGGCTCTCACTACCCCACCTGACTAAATGAAACATATTTTTTATAAAAGTGATGATGTGGCCTAATAATTTTAATTAGATGGAGATTAAAGAAAATAGGATATAGAAATTTAAATAAAGATTACATAAATATATGCCTGTGCCAGTGTTTTGTGTGTATCAGTAAATATCAGCATTCATGTAAAAATATGTATGAATATACACATGTATTTACAGGAACATTGT